TGAGAGTGAAAGTGTGAGAGATTGACTGGGAGGAGACCCAGTCCCGGTCTGTCACTCCAGGTCGTGATGCCGGGCCGGGCCGAGCCGGGCCGGACTGCCCTCTTATCAGCAGTGCTCTGCTCTGCTCTGGAGTACTGCAGACCCACTTGGGCTCAGGAACCGGATTGCGCAGATCACCACAGAGGGTGGGTTTGACTCTGACATTCAGTTGTCAAACATATTACCTGGAAGCCATTTCAGCTCCAAGGAGGACCCCGCTTACCCCCCCCCCCACCCCGCCCCAGGATGATAGTCACTAGTTAAGTCATTTGAGATCTGACCTGTGTGGTGTGAAGCCTCAAGAGGTGACTGCAGGTACCAGGGACTCCCGGGAGCGAGCGAGCGAGTGAGCTTACATTCATTTGCTGGGGTGGGTGGGGGGGGTTCATACCTTGTGAGAGCCGAGAACCAACCTTGTGAGAACGTACCTTATGCCGCAGAGACGGAGCACGTGCCCACTCAGACTTCGGGAGGCGGAGGAGCGGGCGGGTAGACTGCCGAGCCTACGTTTCGCGTTCATAAATATTCCTGTGCACCCCACAGTGTTACGCTTTCCTTGTTTTTCTGGTGTGCTTTTTTTTTTAAAAGCTTCGGGACGTCCTCCCGACGTGAAAGGCGCTCTGTAATGTAATTTTGTTGTTGTTGTTTTTCCGCTGGTTCTAGATTTCAAAACTACTCTGCTGAGACACTGGCAAGAGAGGCGGTGGGGCTTCAGAAACGGCACCAGTGCTATGAGCTTTTGAAGTTTTTGTGTGAGGTTGATTTGATAAGAGGAGCTGTGGTTGCCCTTTCTGGAAATTTCCTCCCACACCCTATTATGTTCCCTAATTTATAAGACTCCAGTGATGCTGGTTCCAATTGATTGAAATGTTATTGTCGAACTACAGCTGCAGCTGTCTGCGGCCTGGTGTAATCTGGAAAATTCATAAGGAATAAGGAACTACTTGTACTTTGAAAATGATCACAATTAGCTCTTCTTTATGTCTGCAATGTAAACACATCCCCTTGATTAAGTGTAGAATGTGTTCTTTCGAAGCCTAGTTTACATTTATACAGCAGCCTTCATGTAGGATAAAGTCTCAGACTGTTACACAAATGATACAAAGCCGGCAGGGGATGTGCAGAAATCCTCACATTTGCTGAGTGGAGGGGACGAGCAGAGCAGTGGAGAAAATAATAATAATCCTTGCATTTGATATAGCGCCTTATCAATTCTTTGAGATGTCTCAAAGCGCTTCACAGAATATACTGCAAAGTGGATTGATTGATTGTATATTTTGTGCGCAAAACTTGGCAGCCAATTGCACACAGCAGTGTCCCATAAATAGTCGTGGATTGATTAACCAAATTTTTTTAAAAAAGGGATTAACTCCCCTGGAAAAAGCGATCTACCAATCGCCTAACAACCGGGTTCCTCCTTAACCCTAGGTAAATATATTAAAATATATATATATAACATATATCTCCATCCAAGTTGAAATCTTCATACAGTTTCCAGGCTGGAAAGCAATCTGGTGTACGGGTAAACCTGACTGATTTCTTCTCTCTCCCACCCTGAGAAGTCAGAGACATGCCTGGTTGGGATCAACAAACATCTCTTGAGAAGTACACAAAGCTTAACAGTGTGTTAAGATCAAAGAGACAAAGAGGTACTCGGGCTTGAAGGCACTTATAGGTAAAGGTGAGGACTTTAAAATTGATCCTCTGGTAGACAGCGGAGTTTTGGATACACTAGAACTAAGGAGACCAGTGAAGAATGCATTAGAAAATTTGAGGCAAGGGGGAATCAAGGCATGAATAATAATGATTTCTGCAGCATTGGGAGTGAGCTAGGGGTGGAATCGGCTGATATGTGAACGGTGAAAGAAAGCAATATTGGTCAGGGTTGGTGTAAGGGAGAAGGAGAGGTAAGGAAACTGAACCAGTTTGGTGAGTTTGAGAAATACAGACAATGAAATTACAATTGCTTAATTATTGGGTAAATTACATTCAAAACAGGAAATAACATTTAGTGTTTGCAAATAATCTGGTCACTTCACATTGTCTTGTCCAGTAATAAGAAATATGTCTCCCAACTTGTAGAAGCCCCACTCCGACACAGTCTACTTCCAGAGCGGAGTTTCATCAGATTGATGTGATGTGGTTGGTGCACTGGAGTGATGAAAGGAGTCCCCATTCGTGAGGAATCACAATAAAATTTCATATATATAGCGCTTTCCCGTCGGAAGGACGCCCAAGGCACTGGATTAAGGAATCCCTGTGGAATTTGCTGCATTTTAGTCAACCACAACTTGAATTTATATAGTACTCCACACAGCGGAGCATCTTGGAACTCTGACCACAATGTTAACCAATTAAACAGTTTTATGAATCTGAGACTGATGGAGTAGAAGATATGATGTAGATACCAATGAAGCATATCTGATTGAGATATGCATCTTACATCTTATTTTCTTTTAAATCAGAACAACAATATAATCTTTCATTTAAATAAGAAAGAATGGCTTATTTGCTCTTTAATAATTGGTTTAACTGGCAATTTACTACTTGCAAACTAATCTCGTATAGGAAACTAACTATTGTTAAGTAATGAATATGTAATCCAAAATATGGGTTTACAGTAATTATGCCAAAATACGGCTAAACCTAAAATAATCATTGCAGGTATACTATAACCATTAAATGGGTGTTAACGTTACCACAAATGTATGAGTTTAACCATGAATGTTATTTGTAAATATGTGATCATTACAAAACCATTGTGACAGCACAGGGTCAAAAATATGCAAAAGGCAAACATGGTTGACATGACAATATCAATTCATTGTGGCAGGGTTTTGATACAACCTAGTTATAGTATTATTATTAGACAAATCTAATTGAAGTTTTACAATATATGTATCAATTAAATATATATTATATAGGCCGTATGCTTGAGAGGGTCATAAAAACTCATACAAGGCAAAGGTAGAATATTTATAAATGACAGAATTTGATCAAATTGAATAATATCTGTCTATCACCCTTTGCACTGTAAAAACAACAACAACAATATAGCGCCTTTCACGTCGGGAGGATGTTCCAAGGCGCTGGACAGTGTACAGCATTCATATACTGTACTATATGTTTGGTATACGTTTAAAAAAACTAAATAATTTTGGTTACAGTGAAATAATGTCCAGAGGGAGTACATTTCATTTGAAATATTCCTACTAGAATTAGAATGGTTATAAATTATCACTTTCTTAATATGATAATAAACCAAATATTCCAAAGTGCCTCTGTATACACTTGTCCAGACCTCTAAGTAACTGGAGTGACCTAGTCCAGAAGGTGGAATCCCAGAACTGTGTTAAACCAGATTCCTCACTAGAAAAGTATTGAGTTACAATACAATATTAAAAAATCTGTACATAGTGGGAATACTTTGAGCAAAAGTATAACACCTAGATGTTATACGACAATAAACCAAATATTCCAAAGTGCCTCTGAAATTTTTCTTCTTCATTTATTAAATATGTGAAATACAATTGTGGAGTCCTGCAGCTTAGTGGTTAGAGCACTCAACTCGCAAGCGAGAGACCTGTGTTTGATTCCTGAGCAGGGCGAAACGTTGGGCAGTTTCCTTACTCCATACACCTCTGTTTACATACCAGTAAGTAGGAACATGGTTGCTGGTAATTGGTGGATCGCTTTTCCGGGGGTAATAATTCCTTCAAAATAAATAAAAATAATTTGGTCACCCAATCCATGACTGTTTGTGGGACACTCCTGTGTGCAATTGGCTGCTGCGTTTTGCCCAGTCAATTCACTTTACAGTATATTCTGTGAAGCGCTTTGAGACTTCCCAAAGATGTGATAAGGTACTATATCAAATGTAAGGACTATAATTTGATTGGACAGCAGACATCTGCCAAAAAGTTCCTTAAATGAAGAATACAGTCATATTGCAATTAACCATTGGCCCTAAACAGTTAAAATAATACGACGCATGTTATAATGGAAAGTACCAAAAGCAATCAAAAAGGCGAATGGAATTTTGGCCCTTAGCTCAAGGGGCCTGGAATACAAAGGGGAAGAAATGATACTTCAGCTGTACAGAGCATTAAGTCAGACCCTATCTGGAGACTGCGCTCAGTGTTGGGCACCACACCTCAGGAAAAATATATTGGCCCTGGAAGGGTTGTAGTGCAGGTTGACCAGAATGTTACTAGGCCTAAAAGGGTTAAGTTATGAGAAAACTTGGATTGTATTTCCTTGAGTTTAGAAGGTTGAGGGGTGATTTGATTGAGGTATTTAAGATGATAAAGGGATTTGATCGGGTAGATACAGAGAAGCTATTTCCTCTGGAAATCCAAAACAAGGGGCATAGTCTTAAAATTTGAACCAGGCCATTTAAGAATATAATCAGGAAGCATTTTTTCACTCAAAGGGTGGTAGAAATCTGGAATTCTCTTCCCCAAAAGGCTGTGGATGCTGAATCCATCCATACCTTCAAGAATGAGGTTGATACATTTTTGGTGGGTCAGGGTATTAAGGGATATGGGGAGAAAACAGGAAATTGGAATTGAAAGGAAAGTTGAGGTACAGATCAGCCATGATCTAATTAATTGGCGGATTAGGCTCAAAGGGCTGAATGGCCTCCTCCTGTTCCTATGTTCCTAACACTTTGTTAAAGAAAAATCTGAATACAACAACAACAAGATTCCATTTGTATAGCACCTTTCACGTCGGGAGGACGTCCCAAGACGCTGGACAGTGTGCAGCATTTCAGACCCGAGCTAAGGAGGGGGCAAGGCGAAGTGATGGGGGATGGAATATATAAATTTACAGACCAAAGTATGCACTAGTTAAGGCTCAAGTACCAGAAAATATGTCTGTCATTGTTGTGAAAACTTGCTCCTGTCAAAGCCTGTGCCAGAGAATCAGTCAATGCTTTTAGATATGAACAAAACACTGAATACTGTTTTGAGTTCCTCTGGTGTGTGTTGTGACTAACAGTAGGTGTAAGAAGGGAGAAGAAATGCAGCCATGCTACTTGGTTTCAGTGGAAAGTATATGAGAAAAAATTGATAAGTATGATATTTGAACAATGATACTATTATAGATGTTTTTACAACACTGGAGAAGGAATTGTGGCAGAAATTTCTTATCTGGTGCTCCATCAGCACACATGCTTTTACAAAGGAAGTAAAGTAACCAGGATCTAATGCCTCAGGCAGACCTCAGTTAAAAAAAAACTTCACAATTCAGTATCAAAATTAAGTGCTGTCTGTAACAAGACAATTATCTCCATTGATGTGAGTAGCACCAGATAAGCTTTTATTGTTAATAAACTTTTAAAAGTTTTTGGTTTGCTCTTTCATCATGAGGATCATCAAGACTGAGGTGTGCAATAGCTTGCTAGATTTGATATAATCAGGTCAGGTTATTTATGGATCAGAGGAAGGATCCCTATTCACTGCCCCAGCAATGTTAATTTAATTCCAATTTTAGTTGATGCTGCCTCCTGCCCCAGTGTAATTTTCTATTCTTTAACCAGATATGCTAAGAGCTTGTTTGATTTTGCCAAATTGTACCAAATTATTGAACTTTATTTTGCTGTGGTCTATAGCCATGAGGCTGATACTCCCCAAACTCATATTAAGCTTTTTTTCAGCCAAAAGAGACTACGTATTTTTATTCTATCAGTCTAGGATGAATTCAAACCCAGACCTGAAAGGACAATGTGCCAAGCCAATAATAATAATAATAATCCTTGCATTTGATATTTGATATTTGCAATTGATACTTGCAAACAACAGAAATAGTAAAGTACAATATTGTAAGCAATTCTCAGAAAACATGGAAAGAAGAATTAACTAAGATAATAATCCTTGCATTTGATATAAAGCCATGAGTCTTTATAGCAAACCAGCCAAGCCAGTGAGTGCGGAAGAAGTGCCGCTGCAAGTGCTCACACAAACTCACACGAGGAGGAAGCAAATTGAGATTAAAGTGTACACTAAGTAAACACAGATTCTTACAAACAAAGCCTTGGACCCTCCCTCCCGCCAAATCTCGCGCCCAAACCAGAGCCAAGAGAAAACGCAGGCGCACTGGCGACCTTGGTCGTCAGCCCTGAAACCCGCCTTTTTCCCGTAATCCCCGCTCACCCCCCCACCCCCCGCACTAGGTAAACAAGTGAGACACTGCTTTTGTTCCTCGCTGCCCGCCCTCACACACAATACAACCGTGGGCTTCCCTGTTGCTAATATGAGAGTGAAAGTGTGAGAGATTGACTGGGAGGAGACCCAGTCCCGGTCTGTCACTCCAGGTCGTGATGCCGGGCCGGGCCGAGCCGGGCCGGACTGCCCTCTTATCAGCAGTGCTCTGCTCTGCTCTGGAGTACTGCAGACCCACTTGGGCTCAGGAACCGGATTGCGCAGATCACCACAGAGGGTGGGTTTGACTCTGACATTCAGTTGTCAAACATATTACCTGGAAGCCATTTCAGCTCCAAGGAGGACCCCGCTTACCCCCCCCCCCACCCCACCCCAGGATGATAGTCACCAGTTAAGTCATTTGAGATCTGACCTGTGTGGGTGTGAAGCCTCAAGAGGTGACTGCAGGTACCAGGGACTCCCCGGGAGCGAGCGAGCGAGCGAGCTTACATTCATTTGCTGGGGTGGGGGGGGTTCATACCTTGTGAGAGCCGAGAACCAACCTTGTGAGAACGTACCTTATGCCGCAGAGACGGAGCACGTGCCCACTCAGACTTCGGGAGGCGGAGGAGCGGGCGGGTAGACTGCCGAGCCTACGTTTCGCGTTCATAAATATTCCTGTGCACCCCACAGTGTTACGCTTTCCTTGTTTTTCTGGTGTGCTTTTTTTTTTAAAAAGCTTCGGGACGTCCTCCCGACGTGAAAGGCGCTCTGTCAATGTAATTTTGTTGTTGTTGTTTTTCCGCTGGTTCTAGATTTCAAAACTACTCTGCTGAGACACTGGCAAGAGAGGCGGTGGGGCTTCAGAAACGGCACCAGTGCTATGAGCTTTTGAAGTTTTTGTGTGAGGTTGATTTGATAAGAGGAGCTGTGGTTGCCCTTTCTGGAAATTTCCTCCCACACCCTATTATGTTCCCTAATTTATAAGACTCCAGTGATGCTGGTTCCAATTGATTGAAATGTTATTGTCGAACTACAGCTGCAGCTGTCTGCGGCCTGGTGTAATCTGGAAAATTCATAAGGAATAAGGAACTACTTGTACTTTGAAAATGATCACAATTAGCTCTTCTTTATGTCTGCAATGTAAACACATCCCCTTGATTAAGTGTAGAATGTGTTCTTTCGAAGCCTAGTTTACATTTATACAGCAGCCTTCATGTAGGATAAAGTCTCAGACTGTTACACAAATGATACAAAGCCGGCAGGGGATGTGCAGAAATCCTCACATTTGCTGAGTGGAGGGGACGAGCAGAGCAGTGGAGAAAATAATAATAATCCTTGCATTTGATATAGCGCCTTATCAATTCTTTGAGATGTCTCAAAGCGCTTCACAGAATATACTGCAAAGTGGATTGATTGATTGTATATTTTGTGCGCAAAACTTGGCAGCCAATTGCACACAGCAGTGTCCCATAAATAGTCGTGGATTGATTAACCAAATTTTTTTAAAAAAGGGATTAACTCCCCTGGAAAAAGCGATCTACCAATCGCCTAACAACCGGGTTCCTCCTTAACCCTAGGTAAATATATTAAAATATATATATATAACATATATCTCCATCCAAGTTGAAATCTTCATACAGTTTCCAGGCTGGAAAGCAATCTGGTGTACGGGTAAACCTGACTGATTTCTTCTCTCTCCCACCCTGAGAAGTCAGAGACATGCCTGGTTGGGATCAACAAACATCTCTTGAGAAGTACACAAAGCTTAACAGTGAGTTAAGATCAAAGAGACAAAGAGGTACTCGGGCTTGAAGGCACTTATAGGTAAAGGTGAGGACTTTAAAATTGATCCTCTGATAGACAGCGGAGTTTTGGATACACTAGAACTAAGGAGACCAGTGAAGAATGCATTAGAAAATTTGAGGCAAGGGGGAATGAAGGCATGAATAATAATGATTTCTGCAGCATTGGGAGTGAGCTAGGGGTGGAATCGGCTGATATGTGAACGGTGAAAGAAAGCAATATTGGTCAGGGTTGGTGTAAGGGCAGAAGGAGAGGTAAGGAAACTGAACCAGTTTGGTGAGTTTGAGAAATACAGACAATGAAATTACAATTGCTTAATTATTGGGTAAATTACATTCAAAACAGGAAATAACATTTAGTGTTTGCAAATAATCTGGTCACTTCACATTGTCTTGTCCAGTAATAAGAAATATGTCTCCCCAACTTGTAGAAGCCCCACTCCGACACAGTCTACTTCCAGAGCGGAGTTTCATCAGATTGATGTGATGTGGTTGGTGCACTGGAGTGATGAAAGGAGTCCCCATTCGTGAGGAATCACAATAAAATTTCATATATATAGCGCTTTCCCGTCGGAAGGACGCCCAAGGCACTGGATTAAGGAATCCCTGTGGAATTTGCTGCAATTTTAGTCAACCACAACTTGAATTTATATAGTACTCCACACAGCGGAGCATCTTGGAACTCTGACCACAATGTTAACCAATTAAACAGTTTTATGAATCTGAGACTGATGGAGTAGAAGATATGATGTAGATACCAATGAAGCATATCTGATTGAGATATGCATCTTACATCTTATTTTCTTTAAAATCAGAACAACAATATAATCTTTCATTTAAATAAGAAAGAATGGCTTATTTTCTCTTTAATAATTGGTTTAACTGGCAATTTACTACTTGCAAACTAATCTCGTATAGGAAACTAACTATTGTTAAGTAATGAATATGTAATCCAAAATATGGGTTTACAGTAATTATGCCAAAATACGGCTAAACCTAAAATAATCATTGCAGGTATACTATAACCATTAAATGGGTGTTAACGTTACCACAAATGTATGAGTTTAACCATGAATGTTATTTGTAAATATGTGATCATTACAAAACCATTGTGACAGCACAGGGTCAAAAATATGCAAAAGGCAAACATGGTTGACATGACAATATCAATTTATTGTGGCAGGGTTTTGATACAACCTAGTTATAGTATTATTATTAGACAAATCTAATTGAAGTTTTACAATATATGTATCAATTAAATATATATTATATAGGCCGTATGCTTGAGAGGGTCATAAAAACTCATACAAGGCAAAGGTAGAATATTTATAAATGACAGAATTTGATCAAATTGAATAATATCTGTCTATCACCCTTTGTACTGTAAAAACAACAACAACAATATAGCGCCTTTCACGTCGGGGGGATGTTCCAAGGCGCTGGACAGTGTACAGCATTCATATACTGTACTATATGTTTGGTATTCATTTAAAAAAACTAAAAATTTTGGTTACAGTGAAATAATGTCCAGAGGGAGTACATTTCATTTGAAATATTCCTACTAGAATTAGAATGGTTATAAATTATCACTTTCTTAATATGATAATAAACCAAATATTCCAAAGTGCCTCTGTATACACTTGTCCAGACCTCTAAGTAACTGGAGTGACCTAGTCCAGAAGGTGGAATCCCAGAACTGTGTTAAACCAGATTCCTCACTAGAAAAGTATTGAGTTACAATACAATATTAAAAAATCTGTACATAGTGGGAATACTTTGAGCAAAAGTATAACACCTAGATGTTATATGACAATAAATCAAATATTCCAAAGTGCCTCTGAAATTTTTCTTCTTCATTTATTAAATATGTGAAATACAATTGTGGAGTCCTGTAGCTTAGTGGTTAGAGCACTCAACTCGCAAGCGAGAGACCTGTGTTTGATTCCTGAGCAGGGCGAAACGTTGGGCAGTTTCCTTACTCCATACACCTCTGTTTACATACCAGTAAGTAGGAACATGGTTGCTGGTAATTGGTGGATCGCTTTTCCGGGGGTAATAATTCCTTCAAAATAAATAAAAATAATTTGGTCACCCAATCCATGACTGTTTGTGGGACACTCCTGTGTGCAATTGGCTGCTGTGTTTTGCCCAGTCAATTCACTTTACAGTATATTCTGTGAAGCGCTTTGAGACTTCCCAAAGATGTGATAAGGTACTATATCAAATGTAAGGACTATAATTTGATTGGACAGCAGACATCTGCCAAAAAGTTCCTTAAATGAAGAATACAGTCATATTGCAATTAACCATTGGCCCTAAACAGTTAAAATAATACGACGCATGTTATAATGGAAAGTACCAAAAGCAATCAAAAAGGCGAATGGAATTTTGGCCCTTAGCTCAAGGGGCCTGGAATACAAAGGGGAAGAAATGATACTTCAGCTGTACAGAGCATTAAGTCAGACCCTATCTGGAGACTGCGCTCAGTGTTGGGCACCACACCTCAGGAAAAATATATTGGCCCTGGAAGGGTTGTAGTGCAGGTTGACCAGAATGTTACTAGGCCTAAAAGGGTTAAGTTATGAGAAAACTTGGATTGTATTTCCTTGAGTTTAGAAGGTTGAGGGGTGATTTGATTGAGGTATTTAAGATGATAAAGGGATTTGATCGGGTAGATACAGAGAAGCTATTTCCTCTGGAAATCCAAAACAAGGGGCATAGTCTTAAAATTTGAACCAGGCCATTTAAGAATATAATCAGGAAGCATTTTTTCACTCAAAGGGTGGTAGAAATCTGGAATTCTCTTCCCCCAAAAGGCTGTGGATGCTGAATCCATCCATACCTTCAAGAATGAGGTTGATACATTTTTGGTGGGTCAGGGTATTAAGGGATATGGGGAGAAAACAGGAAATTGGAATTGAAAGGAAAGTTGAGGTACAGATCAGCCATGATCTAATTAATTGGCGGATTAGGCTCAAAGGGCTGAATGGCCTCCTCCTGTTCCTATGTTCCTAACACTTTGTTAAAGAAAAATCTGAATACAACAACAACAAGATTCCATTTGTATAGCACCTTTCACGTCGGGAGGACGTCCCAAGACGCTGGACAGTGTGCAGCATTTCAGA